TCTGCTGTGACAGCGACAGTTGCTATTCTGCCACATGCTGCCTTATCAAATGCAATGCTACATTTCTGAGTGATTACCAGTGCCTGGTTGAGGTTATCTTCGCCCCATTGGTCTCTGACGAGTATCTGTCGCAGGAGTCTATTTTCACGCCGCTATCCAACAGGAAGGCACTGAGGTAGCGATAAACCTGCAGACATTGTAGATGGTGTAGATTGTGTTAATACATTCAAGTGGCAAATTCAAGAATTTATGGTAGCTTCCAGTGAACCTGTGATGTTATATGATACTGATTTGTAAGTTTAAACATGAGCTTACGTGTTGTCTCAGCAGCTCCTGCCGATGGCTTCCCAAAGCACTGAAGTAGTCACCAGCCAGTTCACCCACTGTCAGCGCCTCAAACGTGGCATTGAAGTCATGCGTACGCTGAAAGCGCAGTAGGGTCTCTTTCAGGTTCCCCCATCGCCGGATCTCTGGAGGGGGACTTAAGGAGGGAAAAGCAGATAACAGCACATAAGAAGAGGAGTTCTAGTTTAAGCTGTTGCTGCATTATACAGATAGGCACTCCTGTTATTTAACAACTGTTCATATAAAATTTTAATTCAGCAGCAGCACCAACTGTATCCTGTAGAATAACATCCAAGTTGGATCGACAACTCTCTGAAACATTTACAATAAAACTGAACAATGTAACTTTCAAGAAAGTAGGATTTATTGCAGGACAGTCTGCATTAGACTGCAACAGCTTTGGATAAGTGCAACCAAAACACAGACAAACGGGTGTTCGACCAGAGTAAACAGGCAAAGACTGAACTGATGTGAAATAGAAGTGCCTAATCGGGATTTGAAAAGAACTGATCTGAGGAAGTGTTGGTTGTGCTGTCATGTTGCTTCATTTGACCTGACGTTACCTGATGTTCATCTTGTGGGTGCTGAAGCCCAGCAGAGGGTCCAGCACCAAACCGGTGGCCAGGTCATCGGTCTCACACAGCTCCTTCACACTCATTCTAGTGCACCCGTCCATTGCCTCCCACCATCAGCATGCTGCAATCACAGGGTCAAAGTAACGCTCTGACATCATCATCAAAAACAACAACAACAACAACAAACCATCAACAATTAGTTGTTTATTCATGCAGATCCATTCTGGAAATTACAGAACATTAGCTGCCGGCTGTGTTACTTTAGTCACACGAAGCCCACCACGCTCACTGTGATAAGTCCATCATCACGGTGTGTATGAGTTAGGAACGCGCCTGGGTTCCCCTATAGCTCCCATAGCACATTAGATTAGCATGTCCGCTTGCTGGGGAAATGGGTTATCAGATGAGGAAGCTAACATGGTAGCACCAGCTGACTGCAGCTAACGTAACATGACTGCACCCGATCGCGAAATCCAGGTACTGAGAGCCGAGCTGTGGAGGATGCACTCTGGACAAGCGGCATTTGCAAACATACCTGGGAGTCTTGTGTGGGCAACGAAAGTTTCGTCGGATGGACAATTAATCGCAAGCTCGTCGCTTGCTCTGGCTCCCGTCCGCCTAGCAGGGAAAGTTAGCCTAGCAGCTAGCTTCCCGCTAGCCCGAGCTGCCGCTTGCGAAAATGGAGTCTCCTCGTCACTTCTGGAATTTGCTGCTTTGTTGACGTTTGAAAAGTCCCAACCCGGACGTCAGGGGGCAGGAATGCGCCACACACGGTGAGCTCCGGGGCTGACAGGTCGGTGTTGTGCAGCTCGATCGCTGGTTGAGCACAGGCTTCGTTTTAGTTGCAAAAGTTGATGAGCTGCGTGCGGCGCAACCGAACTATCAGCAGGCCACGCCCACGCGTTGCGCTATTTGCTGAGGTCAAGGTTAATTTTACAAATCAAACTGAGAGCTGTCCCATGATTGGTCAGACTCTTACACGGGCGGAGCTTGTGACATCGTTAGGTTCGCCGTGTTGATAACAGGACTCAGTGTTTACTGAGGAAATCAGTTCATCAGAGATTCTCTCACCGGGAGTCAAACCACAGATCAGAGACATGAACACTATGAACATAAATAAATGAAAGCTGTTCAGTCCTGTTATTCGGAGTGAGATACTGAGCCTTCGTTATTAGCCAGTTCTAATTGTGAATTTAAGACGAACAGCTGAAATTAAAGGTTTTGTCAGCATCTTGTATTTTTCAACTGATCATTTTCTGCTTTTAATACACAACAATGCACAAAACCACCAGAGCATCAGAGCCCATTACTGAGAGATTCCATTGTATCACGACCTGTTCATCAGCTTGACAGTGACAATTCTTATCTTGTATGTAGACGTTTGGTGGAGCAGGTATTAGAATTGACTTTATTAGATTTAATTGATAATGATCAATTTACTTAAGAGGCAGATGTTTACATTACTACGATATAATGCATTATGATCTACTCAACATGCAGTCATGTGACCACATAAATCAATTGAAAATGAGATTATTCATCATTACCTCATTAGATTAGGTTTTATCCAGAGTTATACTCGTGAACAAATTTGTATTTTGACCAAAAGCTCATCTGGAATGTTTTCAATCGAGCTCAAGAAGCTCCCTGTACCCTCACCCCCACCCCTTCCATTCTTTGGACAGGTTTCAACTAGTAAACCAGCCAGAGGAGTGCTACTGCATATTTTACAGGGTGTCATTCAAGTCCCAAGCAACTGCTACCTACAGCTTTAACTGGAAAGCATGCATCTCTTCTTTGTGACCACAAAGGCACCACCGTAGTGTTTCAGATTCCTGAATGAATTCATGTCAGATCATGATGAGCTATTTTCAAACAGAGACTGATGACTCTTTTGCCTCCCTGGGGGCAAAAGATACTCATCATCACTGTCTGCTAATGATTTGTAGATATTAGGTTTTTTGAACTTGTTCCCTTTCCCATCTCATTAACAGACTTATGTTTTTCTATTTTTGGTGATCTAACGTTGCCGCCTGATGAAGACTCATACATGAGTCTGATTCATAAATCAGCAGGATGATTTACGAGCTGGTGGGTGGTGACTTCACAATGGAGGAAGTTCTTCAGGCTTCGTTGTCATAAATCAGCAGCAACTATCAGACACCACTGGCAACTCTCAGCCACCTGATGTGAATGTTACAGATGTTTCATGAGAAACTTTTGCCACATTTTAGCAAGTACTTTATAAAAAGTAATGCAAATTCATCAACTTATTTTTTCATTCTTCATTCTGTCGCATACAACTGGTGAAGGGCTGCATAAAACAATGTATGTTTTGTTCTGGCTGCATTTTACAGGAAAGCAATGAACTGATGCCCAGTTTAGAGTCACTTATTAACATGTTTTTAAGCTGCTGTTTTAGGCTCATTGCCTCAGAGACTTTCTCAGAGCATGCTTTGAATTTTTGTATCCCAGCGAGTGACAGAAAACCATAAGAGATAAGCCAAAGTGAACAGATAAAGAGTGCAAGGACAGACATGCTGCCCAGCTCCTGCTCGAGCCTCACTTATATATAGGAAGACGCTGGGAGCATGAATGGAGACAAACTGTCTTCCCTTAGTTAGTTTTACTCTTTATGGACCAGTTTACTCCAAGCATGTTTATCTGACAGATTCTTTTTGATTGGATAAAGGTGATGTGGCATCTAAGCAGGACACATCTGAGAAATACATCAGTACACACACATGCACTATATGACTGAAGGAGTGTCTACCCTCAGGGAATCCAGACCTTCAACACACACACCTCACTTCAACAATCCACCTGAAAAATGGAAAATAACTTTAAAATTTGTAGATATTTAATTTCTCTAACAATATTGATCCTTATTTCATCTATTTACTGTTTATTGTTACAGAAACAGAACACCCCTTCACATTTCACTGCAGGTTTTGCCTCAAATCTCTGTGCATGTGACAAATAATAAATCCTTGAATCTTTATTATAATACACTGATGTTTATCAGACAGTAGAGGCAGCCTATGCAAAACCAAAGGAGAAAGTTGTTGTTGGGAAATAACTTCAAGTCCCACCCAGGCGATGGCTCTTTCACTGAAAAAGAAAAGCGGACACAGATGTACAAATTCTATGTTTTTATTTCTACCATGTAACAGAGACAATTTGTGATTGTTATGAAATCAAATAAAAAATACTGTTAACTTCTGCTGTTTCCTTTTTTCTGTTAGTTGTAATAACCTAATCATTTCATATTATCTAACCAGTGACAGTGCCTGGTGCAAAACATCCCTGATTGATTAAAAAAACCCTACACTATAAGCTTTGCAGTGTCTAGCATTAAATTTAGTCAGTAAAAATATGAAAAAAGGTGATTAAAAGCAGATTATTGGTGATAACAGTAAATGTAGAAATGAAAAAATAATAAAGCAGAGGTTATACAGCTATGAAAATGGGAATGGAAGTGGCATTTATTGGAACTTTTATTCAGAGACGTTCCATCTTTTATAGCACTATATTAACACCTGCATGAGTCACTCATTATTTTAAATTATTGACGACAATGTCTCCCCAGTGGAGATCATCTCCACATCATAATGCTCAGGCCTTATATTAACATTGACTTATGCTACCAGAATTTAATACCCGACATTTCTGTACATTTTCTTAAACAACATATGTGATATGTAACTTAATACAAGAACGGTGAGTCTGCATCATTAACAATGTAAAAAGAAAATAGCGTCAAAGCAACAGATCACTGTGAAGGTTAACCAGTGCGTCAAGACTGGGCTGAGCTCGTTTAAATGTATTTTTCATTCATTTTAAAATCTGCGGTCATCTGACTTATCTGTTATACTGGTGTTTAAAGCATGTGTTTTATTCATACTATACTGAACTAATCTCACCACTGAACTTCATTTTCATGTGAATATCACTTCCTGAGTTGATCTAACTGGATGTAAATTGATTACGATTTCCAATAATGTTGTCTTCGCCCGCCCCACCCTGACACAACAACCGACGCAACGCTTAATGTTAATTGTGTTAGAAAGCACAGCAGGATTCCTTACTTTGTAATTTATTACATTACTTACAATAATTTCTTTAAGAATAAAAAAAAACCATTTAGTTTCTGAGGTACTGAGGTGAAAACGTCTGGCAGAGAAAATGGAGGTGAAGCTTGAACTACGTCTTCAATACCCTCTGCTAAAGTCTGCACTCATGCACCACGCTCAGCTTGATCAACGATTACTGTGAGCCTGTGTGTTTACGCTTGGACAGAGGGCTGAAGAGTGAGGACAGACAGCAGGCAAATAAAAGACAGACCAATTATGTAATGATGGGAAGGGGAGGGGGTGTTTGGGTAACTATAAATGAGCAGTGAGACACTTTTTTTTTTTTTCCACCAGTTGCAACAGCCTGTGCTGACCTATGGACTGCTTTCACTGGCGAAACCCTGTACGCCAGCTGAAGTTAAAGGGGCTGCAAAATGGAGAACGTGACATAAAGTGATGGAGAGATAAAGCTTAAAATCTTCATGAGTCTGCTTTGAATCAAGGAAAGTGATGTCTGAGGGTTCAGTTGTCTTGGGTGTACTTGATCTGTGTGCATCTGAGCTGCTGAAAGAGAATGTTGTTAAAAGCGAGTATTTTACACAGCGATCCTACGCAACAAACTTATTTAATTGCTGAGCAGCAGGAGCTTTTTGTCAGGGAATCATCTGGCACTGAATCCAAAACTTTGAGATATAATCACAGGGGAATGTTTGGGCTCAGATTCTCCATCAGATTTAAAGGGCTGTGCCAACAAGTCTTCACTTCCACATTGTTCTATCGTGCATGCATCCCCCTGGTTTGCTGTGGCTTTATGGTTAAACAAGCCCATTCTTTTGTCAAATGAAAAGGACTTGACTGAAGTGATTCACCATCTCATCTCCTTTTGAAAACTAAATAAAGAAAGAAGCTTGAAGCCATTTTCTTCTCAGTAGGCATCTGGAGTATACAGCACTATGTTTAAGTTGAGAGCAGAATAAATGCCAGATAACTGAGAGATGTCAGATCTCACATGGTATTTACGAGGCCATTAGCAGCAGCAGCTCAGTGAAAGAGCTTTCCTTGGGTTGCTAAACATGTGAATTGCCCTTTTGTTTCAACTGCAGGTAAACTGGGGCCAAAAATGACACTTTCGACCTTGGAAGCAATGGCAAACACAGAGTGATCAGCGTGGTAGAATAATTAAAATAAATGGTTATTTTTATTCATCTTAACTTTCAGTGAACTAAAAACCAAAGAAGAAGAAAAAGAATTAAACCATGTCGGTTTCATATATCTACAACAGAAGCAAAACCATTTCACATCCATGACTGTTCTCAAATCAGTTTTCTAAAAGGAAAAGAAAAAGAAAGAAATAACATGTCTCATGGATTCACCTGCACATATTTCCACCTGTGCACCCAGTGTGTTTTATGTGCCATTTCTGTTTTACTCCACCCGCCCCGTGCCCACCCTTGTGCCCTCCCTGCCCAACCCCATCACATAGACACACACACAGACCTCTGAAACAGGATGTACAAAAGCTTGTGTTTAGCATTAAACAGTGCAGGGCCTTAACATAAACAGCCAAGGCTCCTTTCTCTTCCCCCTTCCTCTCCGCCTGCACCCAGGTTTGAATTTACATCATAGATAGGCTCCAACCAACCTCTACAAAATGACAGGAAACAACAGAGGGTAGCCTACTGAAGGAAGAAAAAAATAACGCATATACAGAATATAGAAATTACTTCTGTATCAGTCGCACTTTTTATACACATCCGCACACAAGGAATTACACGCAAACAGCCAAACAAACTGTTAAAAATAGTTTTAGAGAGAAGAAATATGATTGAACCCTGGACACTTGTTTGCTTTTGTTGCTGTTTGGTGACGAGGGAGAAACAAGTTTGGGAGGTAGAGGGGAAAAAAAGAGCACTGGGCCGACAGGGGGGTGGCAGGTTGTTGGAGGAGAACCCAGTGGGTGTTATTTCTTGGCCTTGGCGGCCTTGGCTGAATTTCGCGGCGGAGTGACCGGTCTCCCAGATCCCATTCCTCCCCCTCCGCCATAAGGATACAATTTCTTATCTGCTGGTTTCAGAATCTGTGAGAGACAAAGAGCAACGATTAGGTTCACATGAATTCACTTCAGGTAGAGATATACCAGTATTTCAGTATTTATGTTGTACAATAAAGGTAAACAAGATAAGAAGTGAAACAGATACAAGCTTTGAAAAGGGGAAACATGCCAAGCAAATTAGGTTCATTACACAATGAGGAGTATTAGCACACGCTCCATTTGAAGATACGATAACCCTTTAATTTCCCCAAGGAGATTTGTTTTCTCAGCCTGCACACAACCCACACAGAAACACAGCGATATTCACACAACAATACAGTCACTCAACACACAGACCTGGAAGGAGCACATGAGCGTCTCATCCACACTCATCATGGCACCAGCGTTGTCAAACTCTCCACAGTAGTTAGGAGCCGAGAATAAGGTGACGAGCTGCCTCTTTGCGAAAAACTCATAACCGTCTTCTACGACCTGAGGATGGAGATGAAGAAGTCAATACTACACACAGTGTAATGAATAAGAAGCAAAACAAACAAATATGTTTGTCTGTCTCTTGGATTGTTGGTTCCATTTTTGGTCCAGGTGGTTTTGAGAAGATTAAGATCCTCAGATTATTTAGAAGAAGGACCTGATCTTAAATACCACTAGATGTCACTGTATAGCTTATTGCCTCCACCAAGGACATCCTGTTTTCATCTGTATTTGTTTGTGTGTCCTTTAGCAACACTACACAATAGCTACAAGATGGATTACCACACAAGGTGGAAGGATGCAGTATGGGTCAGGAAAGAACCCATTCAATTTTGGTGTGGATCCAGATCAGGGGCAGATGCAGGTAATGTCTTTTGACCTTTCACCAGTTTCCCAGTAAACAGGTCATGGATCTTGATGGAAAAAAAAATCTGGCATATTTAGGACTAATTTGCTGCAGCTAGTAGAGGAAGGGCTTTTGGCAGCCGTCAAGGAAAATTTTTAGTTGCACGTCTCAAACGTGACCAAAATGGTCGCGCTCTGGAGTCCTGGGAGGAATAACCTCTGAGTGCTATTTAGATTGTACAGAATATCACACTTTAGGGACTTGATTTAACCACCTGCACTTTTGTTCATTTCTACAGAAAATCAAATTCCTTACTAAGGCTTTTAATCTCTACACAGGAAATCATAAACATTACCTGATGTGCCCTGCATATTAGGTCCATGTCGTGTTTGTGCAAAAATTTGGCCACCACATCTGCCCCAAATGTGAAGGAGACACCGCGGTCGTTTTCCCCCCAGCCCAGCACATCTTTGTCTGGATCGGCCCACAGCAGGTCACACAGAAGACCCTGGTCAGGCACGTCTGTGGGTCGCATTACTCTTCGGATCTGCTCCATCGACTGGAGATCGGGAGAGAGCCCTGTAACAAGGACATGCACGAAACACACACTTAGTCTGGTTCTCATTAGCTAATGTGGGCTTCACTGCATCTTATATTAGCAAGACCTACCTCCATGACAACAGAAGATTTTCTCATCTACGATGGCAGCCACAGGTAAACAGTTGAAGCAATCTGTGAAGGTCTTCCACAGCTTAATGTTATACCGTCGCTTACCTTTTAACAAAAGGAGAAAAAAAGAATTTAGTGATGATTAACAGATTTTAAATGTATGTTTTATTCTAACAACAGGTTCTGTGCGCTTACACTCATCGTAGAAGCCGTAGATTCGATTAATAGAAGCGCATTCATGGTTGCCGCGCAGCAGGAAAAAGTTCTCTGGGTATTTAATCTTGTACGCTAGAAGCAGGCATATAGTCTCCAGTGACTGCTTCCCTCTGTCTACGTAGTCACCCAGGAACAGGTAGTTGCTTTCTGGGGGGAAGCCTCCATACTCAAACAGTCGGAGCAGATCATAGTACTGGCCGTGGACATCACCTGCAGGGGGCAGCAGAGAAAAATCTTTAAAAAGCCATACTTTGCTGCTGGGTGTAGTTGGTTCCACATGCAGAGTCGACACAGTCGACACAGTCGACGCAAGTGATTCATGTGGTAATAACAGATGATAAAACGGTCAGGCAAATCATGAACAAAACCTCACACGATGACCATCATGCCATGCATCAGAGTCTGACTCCAGAGCAGCCTCTTATACTTGATATTTCTGACTTAAAGCTTCACTGATACTCACTGACAACTACAACTCACCACAGATTTTGAGGGGTGCCTCTAGTTCAAGCAGGATTGGCTGACTCAGGAAGATTTCACGGGATTTGAGGCAAAGGCCACGGATCTCGCTTTCTGTCAGCTGAACATTCTTCCCAGGCCGAGAGCCCTTGACTGAAAAAAAAGAGACATGGTTTATTGGAGGCACAATAAAGACACAGCAATGGTCAGAGCTGTAAGAAAGACTGACATAAAGAATAGCAATGAAATCTGAAGCTGAGATTTTGAGCCTGACCACCAGACTGGAGAGTTAACACTTCCCACCAGCCAAATGCTAGTGAATTCCGTGAGCCGTCCACTCCAACAGCAACTTGAGCAGGTAACCATATAATTCAGAGGTAAGACTGCAGTCTGTTATTTTGGAAACCATACACTGTCACACAAGCTTCCCCTTTTCACTGTTCATCAAACCACAACGTGCTAGTGTCGCATGCAGAGAGATGCAACATCTGACAAAACCTGACCAGTGGAAACTAGACTGATACGAGCCTCAAAGGCAAAATGTTCTGCTGAAGTGGCGCTTTAAATCGAAGCTAGGTAGAAAACATGAAACCCACTTCCCCCTTCTGGCTCACGTAGCTGCAGCAAAGGCAATGCATACATATAATTAGTACACTCTTGATATAGTCTGCTGAGCAACACAGATATAACAAACACTTTCTGTTCCAGAGAGGTTCACTGATACAATCTGAAGAACTGAGCAGGTCTATCAAGTCTCTCCCTGTCTCGCTGTTTGCAGGTAGAACTGACACACGCACTGAATAGAGTCACACAAATGATCAGGTCTTGAACATGAAACATAAGTTAATATCCTGACTGAATTTATGTCTTAAAAGGTACACATACAACAAGCAGCTGTGGCTCAGGGGTCAGAGCGGTCATCCTCTAGCTCATAGAGCAAAGTGCTGTACATAGATTCACTGTATGAATGTGTGTGTGCATGTAAATCTGTGTTAGATGTAAAACTGTACTAATGACTAGTAAAGCTATATAAACCATTTACCATATCAATCAACCGTCGATATATGAAGCTGGTACTTCAAAATATTTGCCCACTGGGTGTGAATGTGATGCTGTGTGTGGCCTTGTGTAAGACCGCTGCTGGTGGAGATGGATTCGGGGTTGTTTGTAACATTGACAGGCTCAATTGCGCTTCTATTCCTACGTCTGCTGCATGATTGCAGAGCACCTCCTGACATAAACTGCACGAGTGACCAATGAGGAGTCTCCTTCCCACCCCACCAATACTACACAGGCTACTGAATGGTTAATGTACGTACAGCGGTGACAGGCTGCCTCTGACTATCTCAGTGATTCGTAAACAGAGCTCCCTCAAATAGGTTTATGAAATGGATTAAACAGATGTTCACAGGTTAACAGAGACACAGGCATTTGAATGTTAACAAGTAAAGCAAAACAGCAAAAATAGATGAGATTCACAACCGTTTTTTTTTAGCATTCAGAGTTTTTTCTCTCAAAATTTGCCAGATAATTGCTCGTTGTAAAAACTGTTGGGTTTCTCTTTAATACATACAGTATGTATGTAACATATGATGTAACTTGGTGCTATTCAAGGGAAAGCTGCAAAATTGTGTCTGAACTGCTTCTTGGTCAAAACTGAGATCACAGTTGCTCACAGTGGTTATCCATCCACAAACAAGAGACTCTAGTTGAACAAACAGAGCAGTGCCACCGTGTCCAGGTTCAGTTTAAGTTCATATCACTTTTATAACAAAACATGAGCAAAATAACCACAATACCATCACCAGACTGGATTCTAACATGCTGTTTCGTTGTTCAACGTGTCTTCAAAGACAACTGTGTAAATCCATCAATCTTGACGTACTCAATGAAAGATTTATTAAAAGGATCAGGCAGCTTTCCAGACACAAGTCAATAGTTTTCACAAGGAAAAAAAGTTACTTGTACACCTATCACAATATAATTTATGAATAGCATGTAAGAATATATATGAATCTTATGTACAATGACGTGTGTATGCAAACATAATGAGCCATCCTCAGACTTGTAAAATGTTTTTCTGTTTATCATTCTCTGCTTATTTAAAAAAGTGTATAACCACAATCTTCACTCGGGAGGAATTTTTTTTATCAACGTATTGAAACTTTTATTGTGATAATTAACACTACGGAACAATGTGATTATTTTTTAAATATAGAAAGAATTTGTTGCCATATAGTGAAGTCCCATGTTTCCCATCATTTGGCCAAGGGAGGAGTGAATCACATGTGAAAACTCTGAACACAGGAGATAATAGTAAAGATAATTTCAGTATAAGAAAATGTTCTTGTAAACAGAGGTACAGAATGTGTTTTTAAGCCATGATTGGAGGAGGTCACAGATTACTTCTTGTGTTACACACAGAGCAGCTGACCCTCAGGGCTATCACCCCAAGCAACGTAAATGTGTTTGCTAGTTTCAGACTGACACAGTAGCCATTTTCCCATCCAGTGTCTATGTTGTTTAAATAGCAAATGCAATCGCATCTGTCTTAATAGTGCTTGCAAAGCACTTGGGAGAGGGAGGGTGAGAGTAGAAATAGACAAATGGGTGAGGAAAAGTGGCTTATCCTGACGTGACACCGAAAAGCAAGGTCCTAAAAAGTGAAAAGTAGGAATAAATACTGCAGTGCTGCATGTCACTTTAACCTGGATTACAGATGGCTAAGCCCTGACAGAGCTTACTCCAAAGTTAGCCACATAGCCAGTGGGCAACAGTGAGCTTATCATGCGGGGTACAGACAAAAGGCTTTCCATTGCGCTGATCAGGGGACGGAAAACAAAGAGCTGGACCGGCACGACAGAAAAGCTGTCGCGGTTGCAGGGGTGCTGTAATCAACAGTTTGGTCCAGTACTCCCGACTCTGTTGGGCGTTCTGCTCGGGCTTATGTGATGCCATGTTCTTTGGACATGCTATTAACAACTCTCACTCCTTACAGTTAACTCTAGGTGTAATCCTATTGAAACTACTCATTATCCAAGCACATTTAATTGGTTTGGTCAGCAAGCAGGGGGTTACCTCGGTGTCCACATTGGAAAATTATTTCACAGCAGCAGCTCGATTTCCTACCTCTTGACGTGGCACCTGCAGTGGGACGGCTATTCTTGAGTCTGCTGTAGTCTTAAAGTGGATCAACATAACAGTAACATTAACTGGCTAGTGGTTATTCTCAGTAATAAAACCGCTAATGCTGAAAAAAGGTCAAGTGAGTTACATAAGAGGATATAAATACTGCCATTATCAGGCTTGTTTGTCTTCTTCTATGTTTGGCAGACAACCTTATCACAAACCTGACTATAACAGTCCATGTACAAAACACTCCAGCATGGTTTGCAGTCAAAGTCAAACTCCATGTAGGCACTATGAGTGCACACGCATATTTGTCAATAATCCCAATCACCTCCACCAGCTCAGCTTAGGCCAATCACACGCAGTCTATACTTAAGATGGGGAAAAAAACAGGGGGCTCCGGTCACATTTATTATAAGAGCTATGTCTGGGGAAATTCTCTATACCCTACACTCCTTAGTTACTGACCATATTCTGATACGGAAATGTAATGTGCAATTTGGATCTGTAGCCAACAAACACAATGCTGCTCCTGTAAAAATCCCACAAAGAACAGTTCTGGAGAAACACGTACATGCGTGTGTGAATCGGGCAGAATTTACACTCCCAGCACACCTGCCTTGCAAGGACAACTACAGAGGTCACACTCTTATTTCAAATGCTCTTTAGATGAACTGTACAGATGAGTCTGAAGAGATTTAATGCTTCTGTTTATTGTCCTCAGGCCTCCAGTTACACAACCATCATGTGGATGTGAAGATAAAACAGCCCTGTTTTCCCTCATACACTCAGAACCCCAACCATAACAAATCTGTCTCCACAGACTCTACACAGTTGGACATTTAAAACTCTCTACGTAGGAATGGTTTGTGTTGAACTTGTTGGGTCCCCATATCACAATCACTCCGAATCTGCCTTAAAAAGTTTGCACGTCAAAACCATTCCACAACATTTGCTCGCAACTTGAATTATCCACACGAAACATGTTTTACAACAGCTCTACTGTACATATTTATTTTTTCCCACCACAGGACCTTGACACTGCTTTACAGCAGCAAGAATTCATATAAGCAGTTCACGTCTCGCTTTAAACCGTAGCGAAAGATGACCGAAGGTTTCACATGATATTAGAGCTAACATGTGCCACTCAGAGCATCTTTGTTCTTACACCTCTTTAAGTCACTCTGGGGGAAAGTTGTGGCTGTATAATTGTAATCAGATCCTGGCAAGATGCAACAGGAACAGTGAGCACAACACAGGGCAGACTACCCAAGTAACTGAGAAGCCCTCTTGGGGAAGGGGAGAAGATCTACTTAGCAAGGCTGTTCTCTCAGTAAACAAGTACCAATGAAAGTAAACATGTACAAGCCACAAATAGAATCCCTCACTGTAAGAGTTTTTCAGAGTGGGGATTTCTCTGAGTTGAAATACAAGAAATCTGGCTGATGAATGAATCAAAAAAAAAACAAAAAGCCAGTAATGGCTGAGCATTGGCATCAGAAGTACCAGTGATGTAACGCCCCCCACTTCCCCAGAATTAGTGTAACACCAAACAAGTGCATCTCTGTTGAAAAGAGACATTAACGAGTGAGCTTCAGAAAATCACCTAATATAACAAACTAAATGTGGAACCAGAGGGCTTGATTTTACTTCAACCTTTCATCCAAACCCAACCAGTGACAAGTAGCCTGCCTCAACCTAACGTGGCCGCCTTTAACTTTAACCCACTTACCTGGTCCATAAAAATACACATTTCCCCACAGCAGAGATAAATCATTGTCTAAGCGGCGGACGGAGCCGCACACTGGGTCTGGTCTTCCTCACCTTCCAAGAGACGCTGAATTATAGAGTCGATGTTTAATTTGTCCGGCTCCGCCATTTTCTTTATTTTCTGACGTTCTCGGGCGGTGGAGACCTTGGTTTTCCGCGCAGCACCTTGGGTTTGAAGAGCACAGACAAAACAGACACGGACTCGTTAAACAGCCGCTGATCGAATGCGCGTTGCCTCCGGTCGGTGAGCTGGCGGGGGTCTGGCAGAGCTCACCGAGCAATGGAGGCGGACTGGAACAATCAATGAGCTCATGCGAGCCTGCGCTAACCCAGCTAGCTAGGTAGCTACTAGCCAAGTAGCGTAAGCTGCTCACTTGCGGAACCGCGGCTAGGCGGCTAACGCTAGCGAGAGAATATGACTCACGATGAGGTGAAATGCTCCAGACCTCGTGTCACCGGCGCTCTGGGTGGATGATGAGTGAATCCTGGCCCCTCTCCACTGGTTCGCCCGGATCCCTTCACTCGCCCCCCAGGAACTTCGGCGGAGGATCGTTTCTTTCCGACGTGTCTACGGTGCCGAAGGAGGCCGAATCAAACCGAGCCCCCCCCCCCACCTTTCTCACAAACTGATTGGCCCGTGACAGAATTTACAGCCCGAATTGTCGCATCTGATTGGACACACGCTGGGTCCGTCTCAGACCGCGCCCCCAGTCGCGTATAGCGTCACCACGTCGTCCAATAGATCAGAGCCGGAAGCGCGCCACCGAGTGTTTACAGTAGGAATTACAACAGGGAACCTAAAAGTACACTAGAATTTAACAAGGTGGTTGATTCCGATGACTAAATTAAATATATACCCTTAATATAGTCACATCAAATCAAATCTACTCAAGTCTATTCATAAGATAAGATAAGAAGTCCCCAATTTGTCCCACAATGGAATATTAATATTTGCGATATTAAACCAGCAAGAGTCAAGAAGACATCAGCAAGTAATTAGTAACATACAATACTTTAAGGTCCAGTGTGTGAGATTTAGGTGAAAGGGAACTATTGGCAGAAATTTAATATAGAATAATTCTCATGAATTTCATCTAAATTGTAGTTTTCTTTACCACAGAAAAGGCCCTTTATATTCAAATACTTTATATTTAGATCGAGGGGACCCTCTCTACGGAGGCCGCCATGTTTTTTACATGAGTCCAGACTGGACAACCTAAACACCTTTTGAGTTTTTATGACAATTAAAGGCTACCACAGGTTCTTTTTCATGTTTGGATGGAGAGGGTGAGGTGAGGGGTGTTCAGCTGCAACATGCAATTTCAACACTAGATATCACAAAATTCTACACACTGTACCTTTAAGTGTCAGGAATATTTTTTAAAAAGCAGTTTTTTTTATAAATGTCTTTGACCAAGGTGCTGTACAATAAAATAACAATAGAATAAGAGATTAAAATAACTCAACAAATAGAATAGAAAAGGTAAAAACAAATTATAAAATAGTAAAAGCCACCCAATAAGCTTAGAGTGCATCCGCAATTCAAATGCTTTGACAAGCAGATAGAGTGAACAAGCTCGAAATAAATAAGGTAAAGATAAATAAGACATATTTAAGGGCAATCAAAAGAGAGAACAGGTGGGTCTTCAATTTAAATCTCTCAACAGAGGGTGAGCACTGAATTGGAAGTGGTGAGCTGTTTGGGGCCGCTTCAGCAAACAACGATCACCCTTACCATTAAGCCCAATTCATGCTCCTAACCCTGACCCTAGAAGAAGGCCGACAGCCAGGAGCAGTTGGTCTGAGGATCTAAGGGACCTGGGGATGGAAAGGGGGCAGAGAAGCTCAGAGAGATATCAGGGCGCCAAGCCATGTAAAGCTTTTAAAAAAATTAAAAGAGCCTTAAAATCAATGCTCTACTAGTCATTATAATACCATGTACTTTTTGTCATGGTTTTTGTGGTCTTGTCTTTCGTCAGTGTGTTATAATTATAAAAAAAAGTCTTCAAAAAGAGTTTCAGCACACGGGCAGAAAGGGCACATTGCAATACTTTAATTTAATGTTGATGTTGAAACTTATATTCTATTATTTATTATTAATAAAGTTTTTTTTATTAAGAAAGTTTAATTATGATAATAATAATGACAGCAATACTACCACTAGAAGTGATGATACTTATACTACTACTACAATTACTACTACTAATACTACCACTAATAATAATAATAATGATAATAATAATACTTGATTTATTTAGTGGGGTAATATTATAAGATACTAGTAGAAATATGCATATACATGCACATTGTTGTCCACGTATATTAAGTTTGTGTTATTCTGAACATATAATTTCTCTCAGAGAGAGGATCTGAATTTGTACATGTATTACTCACTGCATTTGTCACTTTCTGACTGTGTTCACAGAGGCTCCACATATTTGCTTTCACAATATTCCTTTTTTCTAATTTTTTCCTCTTCCCATGATCTACGTAACCTTGCTTATGATGTAACAAAAAATTCTGATCCCACTCAGTCTCGGGTTTTCTAAATCTCTCCTCACCTTTGTCACCACAAGTTTCGACACACGTGCATAGGTGTAGGGGGGAGGGGGAGCCAGGATGTGCAGGTACAGAATGTATTTATTTGTTTGGACTGCAGGAGCACAGAGATAAAATACAGATGACTCATTTTTCTTCCTCTGGAGATCTTTGTGATGGAAACAAAAATGATTCACTCACAGTCGTCATCATCATCATCGTGTAATCGCAATACTGTCTCTGAGTAGTTTCTGTGAGTTTTCACCAAAAAAAACTGAAACTCCCTATAGAATCACTAGACAAGTCCAGTCTGGTCGTGAGGTCTGTCCCTCTATGTGTACTCCACCTACTCGAGCTCAGCCCCACCCTACACCTTATATTCCTCTATAAATACCTCCATCTTACAACACACAACTAATGCACATCAGACAACAGCCTCTTCAAAACAACGCACGGACAACAAGAAAACATTTTCACATCAGGTTCAGAGGACACAGAATAAAAGGTACGCAACACTTCATTTCTATATTTAGCGTGAACTCTGATTCTGCAAAAGCTTGAGGTGAGTGAGGATGAGAGCACTGTTTGAGGAGTAGTGAGTCATATCTCTTTATGTGCACCAGCAAAAATTTGGGGGAAAAAATGCAAATTAACAGCTGAAAGGGGAAAAATGTATTTAAGGCTTTCAATTTTGTCTGTGTCCCCTGTGTGAAGGAACGTTTTGACCAGACCGTCTAATGAATGATATTGAAAATGTAACTTCAGTAAACTTTGAGGATGAAATTTCAGATCTATAAGGGACAGAAAAAAAACTTTAAATAATTGAATTCCACTGACCCACATCAGATTAGTCTCCAGTGTTTAATCTGCTCTGAGAGTTTGTGATATTGGGGTGGGTCACATATGCTTGAAAATAAGATATTTCCATCCCGGTTCTAAATCCAGCAGAGGTTGCCCTGCTGTCCCTGCCGTGTCTGGGTTATTGGCTTCTATTTGTTATTTATTATTAGGAGACAAGGTTAATAGTAAATAAATAATAGTCATTTTGTTTGTGTGACTTTTGTTGATTTATGAAAAGCAACAAAAAAGTGTGTTTTTTGTAAACTGGTCGGAGAACAAAAGAAAGGGATTCACATTTTCCTTTTTTTCATTTACTCAGATTTTAAATTCAGATTTTCCTCAATGATCCATGATTTCATTATCTTTGTTTTCAATTTTCAGATATGCAAATGCAGCATTTATCAAACTGCAATTAAACAAATTAAATAGTAAATTACAGTTAAAGTTATCAAACTGCAGCACTTTAATGCAAAGAAGTCTTCTGTTCCTCAGATTTACTTCGAGCTCCCTTTACTTTTCTATTTGTTATGAAGATTAATCATAAAGTCACCGTTAACAAATGAGTGAGGCCGAGGTTTTCGAAGTTAGGAGATTTTAAGGAGTGGTTCAACAAGTCCTGGGTGGAGATTCAGGAGGCGAGGGCCTGTTGGGACATGAGATTCTCTCAAAAAATGTTGCCCTAAGTAACATTATTCAGATGCTTGTTGGAGGGAACACCTGTCTGTCTGAGGCACGCAGCGTGTGTGTGTTCAGCTATGTGATCACACACACACACACACACACAGAGGAGGAAGCACTGGAAGAACCAGGAAATAAAAGCATGCAGTGATTTGTAGGATTTCTACCATTGATATATCATTAATTTATGTTTATGTGCAGAATCAAACAAAAACACAAATCTTTTCGGATTTGGATTCCACCCTCCACAGATGTTTGATGCGAGTAGGGTTTTTTTTAGGAAAAAGACTTTTACAAAATATCAAAAATATGAGTTAACTATTAAGTAGGCCTAATACAAAATGTAAGGGGAAAGAAGAGAGAACAGCCCCAATGATCTTGTTCATACCTCTGTTTTTATCTCTCAGAATGGGATCCACTGGAGTGCACATTGTGTGTGTGGCCCTCGGGGTCCTCGGCCTGGTCGGGGCCATCGTGTGCTGCGCTGTCCCTCGTTGGAAGGTCTCCTCTTTCACAGGAGCCAACATTGTGACGGCACAGGTAAATAAAAACTTCAACAACCACATGATAAGAATCTTGATGAGTGGGAAGAAAGATATCACACATAATATTTTCCTCAAAGCATTGAAACCTGCTTTTACTCCATAAAAATCTATTCATTATGTTTTGGTGTTGTTTTTTTTCATGATTTCCTGTAGCCACACTGAGATTATGCATATTGAATGAAGAATTAATGAAAGTATACTGTCATTATTGAAAAATATTCAGGACATTTACTCCAGCAAAAGTAATAACCCTGCAACATGAAACTATCGCAATAGACGAAAGACTAAAAAGTTTTATGATGAAAACATACTTACAATAGATAAAGTTAAAGTATTCATCGTCCCCCTGTGAGTGTCACATTATTAGGTTTTTTAATCATTCGATTATCATCTAATCAGCCATTATTGTGAAAGTGGTATTTTACTGTTGTATTTTGTCAAAGTGCAGTTGATTTAAATTATTCAATGTACTGTTGGGTGGTTTAATTAAAACAGTGCATCACATGTATAAGATCATTATATTTTTTTGTAAATCAGATTTCAAAACTAAAAGAGTAAGATAAACTAGAAAATCTCTCCTGCCGAGACATTTTGAATGGGTGCCTTGTGCTCGTCGATGCCGGCGTTGCTTCGAACACAGAGACGCATATTATCCAGGTTTACGTGAAATCCAATTTTAGAGAGACATTACGTTTAAGAGAGAGAGAGAGGGACATTATCAAAAGCTGCTTGATTTTATAAACATACATGATCCAGGTCAGTGAGAGACTTGACCAATTTCAGAGAGACAGAGAGAAACCATGATGTAAGGTCTTATCACCATCCATGGGATTTAATTTTTAAAATYCCCCCTCCTTCAGGCTTCTTCGGTACATGCTGTATCTATTTGGGAGTTTTATTTTGAAAGTCCACTCTTTTTCTGGCTCCCTGGGAACATCCTGTAACCATCTGAGGGGTTTATTTTGAAAATCCAGTGTCTTTCAGGCTTCCTGGAAACATTCTGTAACTATTTGGGGGTTTTATTTTGAAAATCCAGCGTTTTTCAGGCTTYCTGGGAACATTCTGTAACTATTTGGGAGTTTTATTTTGAAAGTCCACTCTWTTTCCGGCTCCCTCAGAACATCCTGTAACCATCTGGGGGTTTTATTTTGAAAAACCAGCATCTCTTAGGCTTCCTGGGAACATTCTGTAACTATTTGGGGGTTTTATTTTGAAAATCCAGC